AAGCAGCACTGAAGACCATGGAGGCTCACCCAGTGCTGAACAGGACCAAGAAGTCTGATCTAGTTCTGGAGCTGCAGTGGTGATGTGGTCCTGTACAGCTCTTCATGGAGAACAATCTGCAGGACACCTTCAGAGACTGTGACTCTGCTGAAGYTTCTCATCACATCTCTTCTGACCACAGCTGAATCTGAGAGGAGCTTCAACACTGAAGATAATCAAGACTTTCCTCAGGTACAACATCACATCTCACTGCACTGACCATGCTCCATAGAGAAGAATCTTGTTAAAACATCCCTGACTTTAAACAAAGTCATGAAGAAATTTGCTTCCCAGTAACAGAAGAGCAAATTTTARATACATGAAATAAAACACTGCATGACATTGTAATGCTGTTTTATTATTTTCATTTGTTTAATAAATACTGTCGTGATACAACTTAGTACATATTTGATTGCTTTTGGAGATGAGCCTATTTTGGAGTTTTAGCCTCCCCTAGAGAAAAATCCACCTGCCGCCACTGGTGATATYAAGGCAACATGGTGAGTAATAAATGGGGTTTTGAAAAATAAAAGAAAATCAAGCATTTAACAATATTTTGTTGAGGATGACAATGATGACAATGATTAGAATGAAATTGTAAATGGATTTAATCCATATTTTGTGCATGTTGGCCCAAGTCTTTCAGCTAAAATACCAAAAGTAGATAAAAATGTAAGTCATTCATTAAAGGGTTATACCAACAATATTTTTCTTCAGGGAACTGACTAAGAAGAAATAATGAATATTGTAAAAAAAAATGCAAACAAAAGATCAAAAGACTGGGTGGACATGGATATGATGTTTGTGAAGGAAATAATGGGTTATATTATTGAACCGTTCATTGGTAATTTATCATTTTCAACAGGAATATTTCCAAACAACATGAAGATAGCTAAGGTAATCCCTCTTTACAAGAGTTGTGAGAACTATATGTTTACAAACTATAGACCAATATCCTTGTTACCACAGTTTTCAAAAATTTGGGGAAAATTGTTTGTGACCAGATTAGATCAGTTCGATAAACAAAATATTTTAAGTAAAAATCGGCAATGACTGTAAAAATGCTGGCTCAGTTAATTTGTTTAAGAGAATGATAAAAGTAAAATTGTTAAATAAATATGAAATTGTGTATTTTGTATTTGTAAGAGTTACTGTTTGAGGAGTTGAATTTTTTGCTTAGTTTTATTGTCTGTTTACTATTGTCTGAAATAATATTTTTTGCAAATAGGGGCAGATATTANAGTAGCAGCTCATCCACTCCGAGCCCTGAGCGTGATTCCATCAACCGCTTTCGGACAAGAGACTAAAGGCGAACCGGGTCGGCCAGGGAAGCCTGGACCAAGAGGACCACAAGGGGAACGAGGGCCACCTGGTCTGAGGGGACCACCAGGAGGCTCTGGAAAGACGGGAGAGGTTATGGTTCCAGGGCAGACTAAACCAGGAGAGCTGAGCCCTCTCGGACCAGAACATATCGCCTTCTATGTGGGTCTGAAGAATCCACATGAGGGGTACGAAGTCGTGCGCTTTGACGATGTTGTTACAAACTTGGGGAGTGACTACGATGTGACCACTGGGAAGTTCACGTGCCAGGTGTCTGGAATCTACTTCTTCACTTACCAAGTTCTGATGAGGGGAGGAGACGGAACCAGCATGTGGGCCGATCTGTGTAAGAACGGACAGGTACCAGATTTTCACATGGGAACTGAATTTCGTACACCAGTTCTCTCGGCTTGTCTCTGTCATAACCTATTTTTTCATTCATCTACTTGTCTGTGGTTTATAGTTTTAGTCATATCTAGTTTAGTTTTAATTTTCTAAAATAAGGGTTATTGTCATAAAACATGAAATAAACATTATCACTTAGGAAAAAAAATTGTATAGGTCCTCTGGACGGGTTCTTCTTTAATGAA